CAAAAATTGTTAGAATAAAAAAAATTTTTTTTTTCATTCATTTTGATATATTTATGTAAAATTCACATAAAATCAATTCGGAGTTTTTTTTTCTTTTTTTTTGCATTTATAATTATTGATAAGCTATTTGCAAGTAATGATTAGATGCTTTCATTATTGATTGAAAAAAATTTTAAAAAGAAATTATTTTGATATGAAATAAATTTTGTTTGTTGGTAAATTGTATTATGATTATTTAAATTTTGTTTAATTATCAATTAATTAATCTCTCGAATATTCTATAAACTTTCAGAGAAGAACGAAAAAAAAAGCAACATTTCTCATTAAAGTATCATTGAATCCGATTAGCTTCATAAGCTATAATATTAACTAGAATTATCAATTTGATAATAGTACTATTTGCAACAAACAAATAGCATTGCTAAAATTTTTCATTTCAATAAATTAATTAATCTAAAAAAAAAGCCTAATTATGTACTCAAAGGACTAAAGCCTAATTATGGACTCAAAGGACTAAAGCCTAATTATGGACTCAAAGAACTAAAACTAATTATGAACTCAAAGGATTACAGCGATGGAAATGCCTGAATATTTGCATATGTATGAGCATTTTATTGATGGAATTAAAAATCATCAATTAAACATTTTAAATTAAAAATTCATTTTAAACTTATTTCTAAAATGTTAATTTGAGTTGAGCACTTTTTTGATGCGCAAACATACAAACAGAATTGTCGTTATTGTAATTTTCATATTAATACATTTTCAATGATTGTCAACAATAACATGCTAATTTTTGTCACGCAAATTAATGTTAGTATGAAGAAATGGCAATGAAAATTGTTGAAAGTGTTATCATTTGTAATTTTTAAGCTTTATAAAAAGTGAGATGATTAATTTGTAAGATAATTTAATTTTATTAATCATTATTTGATATTTTGAATATCAAATGCTTAATGCTATGACATATTTAAGGTTTATTATGAAAATTTAGTTGAGAAATTAGTTTGAAAATACGGAATGATAAATGATTAAATTATCTTATTTATCGATGGGGAAGAAAAAAAAAGCCTTACTTTTATTCAAAAACATTGGTATATTATCATATATCATTAATAAAACTAACAAATAGCTTATAATATTTTCATTTATAAATAATCTAAAATATTTTTATAATGTAAACGTTTGTTCTGATACCATACATTATCAGTAATGATTTTTCTTCTTTATTTACAGTATACAGATAGATAATAATAAGAAATGAACAATAATATTATCGATGAATTACATTGTTCATTTCCTTGATCAAAAAAAGCTTATCGATAAGCAAAAGAAAAAATGCTGATTTAAAAAATTACATTCATAGGGCGGTTTAATTTGCATTCCCAATCATTATCACTGATAACTGTTAAGATGCAGATTCAGGCGAAATTATTCAAATGGACAGTTTAAATTTCAATGATATCTCTAAAGATATACCTCAGATTATTTATGCCAAATTTCTTGCATTAAAAAAGAGTGCAATACATGACGGAATGATTATCTTATTGAAGTTGACATTAGGTCACTTATGATCACTCTCGAGATTATTATAATAAATCTCGAGAGTTACTGTAATACGTTTGAAAGTATCATACATTGATTTGGAAAATAGAAAAATTCTGATGCAACAATGATGGTTAAAGTAGTATGATGTGATTGTATTGTAAAAATTTATTGCTGAAATATGAAATTTTA